ATATATATATATATATATATATATATAAAATTTGAATATTGCAAGGAGTTATTGAGAAATGTAAAGCACAATTACATTACTTTTTATTTTATTTTGTTTTACTTCATAGGCACACTACGATAACTTATCGTAGAGAAACGTTAGGCACATTGGAGTATACAAAATATATTACTTAAGGGTTGTCTATGAAGCATTTATATATCTCCTAGAAAAATAGCAGAAATTTGCAGTTAAATATGAAATGGTATGGCCTCAACAATAAAAAGGAAAAATAATCAATTGTGTAGATGAATCTAGAATTTGATGTGGTGTCATGTTATAAATTTATTTTTACTCTCTTATTTTAATGGTGTAGAACTTTACTTGTATCCCAATAGTGTAGAAGTATAAAATATACAAGATTTATTTGCAATTTTAAGTATCTTAAGGAAGTGTAATGTAATTTACTTTAATTTTAATAATGATAATAATACTATTTTAATAATAATAATAATAATAATAATAATAATAATAATAATAAGTGTGGTTTAGAATAGCAAACATTAGTGATGTAGATTTACAAATCGAAACAAGAAAGAAAAATTGTTTTCATGATTTTGACACAGATTCAAAATATTTATAAAGAATGCATTCAAATTAGTTTCAGAATTATTTTATCCAAATATGTTGCGTTTAGAAAATATGATGTTTTGAAAACAAAAAATAATAAACTTAGCACCAACCCAAACCGGAGGCCTACCTAAACTATTATAGAAAAAGTATTAACTCAATTTTAGTCTCTCAACAATATAAGTTTATTGTTAAAAAATCTTTATAAACAATTATTGAAAAGAATAAAATAAATTTGAATCTCGAAGAAATGTATACACAAGGGCATGTAATCAGGGACGGATTTACATAGAACATAGTGGGGACACTTATCCCGACTATTATTTTATACATACATATTTTTTTATTAAAAAATAATACATTTTAAAAAATAAAAATTATAATTTAATAATATATATATATATATATTTAAATCTCTCTCTTTTTTATTTGGCTATCTTAGAACAAAAAAAGAATTAATAAAGGCTAAAAATTCAGGTAGAA